CAGTAATATAACTGCAGCATGGCTCTACCACGTAAAATCTCAATATATTAAAATTGAAGGCGGTAGCTGTATTCTAATATAATCCTAGAAAGTAAGAGCCAAAATGAGCAGGCTGAATTTCGCAACGTATTTTGTGTTTTGGTGACGTTAAAACTCACAAGATAAGAAACAGAAACAGAAACTTTTTTATTCAATATAGATTATAAAAAGAGTGACTTTCAATAATACTTATAGAAAGTCACTCTTTTGTTTAATTACCACTGGTTCGAAAAAAAACCCCTATCCTGGGAAGAACCAGCAAGAAACCCAGCGGGATTTTGTTTTTAAAATAACAGCTTACAATCATGTATGTTACACAAATTAACAACACGACAAATTAGAAATAGCTTGGTAGCGATCACCTCATTTCCAGTGGTTATTATCATCCATAAATTCCTTAATATTATAATAACCCTTTTTATACAAACTTAGTTTAATAAAGTTTTTGAACTTTGAGCAGGTCAAATTTTGTATATTTTCCGGAATTTTGTTGTAAAAGCGTATACATCGCCCCAAGAATGAATTACTGACTCGATGGAGTCGAGTAACTGGTACTAATAGCTTGTGTCTGTTCCTAGTATTTACAGAATGAATATCACTTATTTTTGTAAAACTTCTTTTATTTTTGTGTACGTACATTACATTTTCATAAATGTATAGAGAAGCCAAAGTTAATATATTAATTTCCCTAATTTTTTTCGCAGCGACTCTTAACGCTTTATATCATAAATTGCTCTTATGGCCCTCTTCTGTAAAACAAATATAATTTCAGTGTCAGCTGCGTGTCCCCATAGTAAAATACCATACGACATTATGCTATGGAAATAGCTAAAGTAAACTAGTCTAGCTGTTTCAACACTGGTAAGACTTCTAATCTTTTTTACAGCATATGCTGCAGAACTAAGTCTGCTTGCCTGTTTTGATATATTATGGGGGCTCCATTGAAGCTTCGCGTCTATTGTGATTCCAAGAAAAATGGTGGTATCTACAAGACTCAATTTCTCCCCATTCAAAATTAGATTAGTGTTTACTTGTTTGACATTTGGGGTCATGAATTTCATACATTTCGTTTTAGTGCCATTTAAATGCAAATTATTGACATTGAACCAATTTACTAATTTAGATATAGCATTATTTACTTCGTCATATTTTAGTAATTGTCGACTTAATTTGAAACTTAAAGAAGTGTCATCTGCAAATAATACTGTATCATGGTTATCCCCTACTGTGTAAGGTAAGTCATTAATGTACACAAGAAACAGAAAGGGGCCGAGAATTGAGCCTGGAGGCACGCCTATTTGTCCCATCGACCCGGAAGAGCTCATTTGTTAATGACAACTGTTCGCGTTCTCTTACTTAAATATGAAATAATTAATTTAAGAGCATCACTTCTTACACCGTAGTGTTGAAGTTTCCTGATTAATGTTTCATGGTGAACACAATCGAAGGCCTTGGATAGGTCACAAAATATACCCAAAGCATCCTGTGAATTCTCCCATGCATTAAAGATATATTTAATCAGCTCAACATCGGCATCAGTTGTCGAGCGACCCCTTGTGAAACCAAATTGATGTTTATGAAGTAAATTATTTATATTAAAGAAATTTAACATTTGATCAAGAATAATTTTTTCAAAAATCTTACTAAGTGTTGGTAGTACAGAAATAGATCTTAAATTGGCGGGGTCTAATGTACTACAAGATTTAAATAAAGGTATTACTTTACTATGCTTCATTAAATCAGAAAACACACCAGATTCGATACTAGTATTAAAAATAATAGCTAAATGAGGCGCGATTGTATCTGTTATAGATGCAATAACTTTAACGGAAATCCCCCACAGATCCGCAGTTTTCTTAACATCAATAGTTTAAAATATTTTACAATATCTTTTGATGTTACTTTATGAAATTTAAAATTCTTTGTACACGCATTTACATTTTGTTTAAGTAAGGATTCGGCGACGGCAGGAGAAGAATTCAGTGATATCGGATCCTTTTCAGTTAATTTGTTGTTAACACTTAACTGGTAGTTTGAATTGCGAGATTTGATCTTACCAGTTTCGCTATTAATTATACTTCATGTCATTTTAATTTTATTAGAAGCCGTCTTAATTTTGTTGCTCAAATGCAAAGACTTGGCTGTGGAGCACACTCTTTTAAATACTTTTGAATATTTTTTTTACATATTCCCTAAATTCGACGCTATGATTATATGACTTTTCATGGTAAAGATCATATAACCTATGTCTGCTCTTATGGACTCCTACCGTCGCCCGTTCATTGAATGACTTCCGACTGTTCAAGGAGAATGTTTTATAAGTAAAAGTACTATTAAATTCATTGCAAATAAGCTTAAATAATGTTCCATACAAAAAATTAGGATCATTTTGGTATGAAAGTGATGGAAGTTTTTTCACTATGTTACATCTAAATTTCTCCAAGCGACGTGCTTTAGTTACTGAAACAAACACAACTTTCTCATCTACTTGCTATTTGTGAACATAAGGTAACGTTACTACTTGTCGACAGTGATCAGAACTAAATTTTTGAATTATACATTTATACAACGGCTTCACATTTGTAAAAATGTTATCTATACATGTTGCACTAGATTGAGCAATACGCGTTGGCTCTAAAAATAAATTAAATAGACCATATGATTTAAACAATGATCTAAATTTAATATTGATGGAGGAAGCTTCTAGGAGATTGATATTAAGGTCTCCACATATTACAACAGATTTACTCTATTTATTATGCTTAGCAAAATCTTCCTCCATAATTTTTTCAAAAGTATCGTATATAGAACACGGGGGTCTGTAGACGCTCACAACAATGACGTGCTCAAACTCAATACATGCCATTTCTATAGTTTGCTCAACAGAGAGGCTCACAATATCTTTACGTTCTTTACATGATAATTTACTAGCTAATATTAAGGAGCCACAAAATATTATAAATCCGATGGTAGGTAGGTATCTTAGTTTTCCTGAAAAGTTTTTTAAAAAAAACAGAAGGGGCTTTTCTTATGTTGAGTGATCAACGCTCCCCACGAGTATCTAAATCAGCAGAGGAAATGCGAATGCATTGCCGGCATTTTAGAATGAAGTAAGTTAGTTCTTTTCTTCAAAGATTTCACCATGTATTTCGGACTGAATTTGTTTCTAACCAGGCTGTCTCTCTACAATTATGCTGTCTTCTGCGTAATCACAGATCTATGCCGAGCGTATTTAGGTACCAAAAACCGAAAACAAGCAGGAAGATAGTTGTTGAAAAATCTGTCCCCTGAGGAACTCCGTTGTTAGTCATCATAGGCTCGGACGAGCAGTTCTCGACAATTACTTGGGGAAACCGTTCACAATCAATAAATCATTCACAATAAAAATTTTGTGTTTTTTACTTTTTATAAACCCAATTTTTTTACTGATTGCTTAACTACGAGCGTTTACGGTAATCGTTCGTCTTTGCCCGCTATAAGATAAAACTAAACTATTTTTTATAGAATAGAATAGAATATTTTTTATAGAATAGAATAGAATATTTTTTATTCAATATACATTACATGTGTAATTCTTATTGAAAGTCATTTTTTACTTTACCACTGGTTCGAAAAAACCCTCTGTCCTGGTCCAGCAAGAAACCCAGCGGGAATTTTTTTTAAAATAAATTTTACAATATAAATGATTACGAATTATTTACAAAATTTATTTTAGAAACTGCTTGGAAGCGACCACCTCATTCCCAGGGGTTATTTATACTATAATAATGCTTCATTTATACTATAATAACCCTTTTTATACAGTTTCAGCTTAATAAAACATTTAAACTTGGTAATAGAGACAACCTGTACACTTTCCGGGACCTTGTTGTAATAGCGTATACATTGCCCCAAGAATGAATTACTGACTGTGGAGTCGAGAAACTGGCATCACTAGCTTGTGTTTGTTCCTAGTGTTTACAGAATGTATATCACTTTTTTTACTAAAACTATCTTTGTTTTTGTAAACATACATTAAATTTTCAAATTGTTCAAATGCAGATTATTAACGTTAAACCAATGCACTAATTTTGATATAGCATTATTCACTTCGTCACATTTAAATGATTGACGTTTAAGTTTAAAAATCAAGGAAGTATCATCAGCAAATAATACTATATCATGACTATCCCCTACAAGGTGAGGTAAGTCATTAATATACACCAGAAACAGGAATGGGCCGAGAATCGAGCCCTGAGGAACACCCATTAGTACAGGTGAAGGTATAGGATAGAGTGACAAGTGAGCACACAGTTCACCTGATGGTAAGTGGTTGCTGAGAGGCCCATAGACATCTACATCTATCCTTGTTTGCGAATCAAAATTCAGATGCGTTGTCAACCGCGAGGACTAAAATGAAATGCCTCTTTTCCAGTAAAAAGGGTTTCCGGTTCTCTACACTCACCATACGAAACATAGCATTAAGCTGCTATTTTACGCTGGTAAGAATATCACGCTCTCATAGAATGAGAGAGGACCGAGCGGTCCTTCCTCGGTCGAGCCGACTCATTCGTGCTTACTTCAAATGTTTCACCATACTATAATTTAAAATGTTTAATCTAAATTTTCTTACAAAGTTTTTTTAGTAGATCAATAAAAATAGGATATTAATAAAATACAATTTTCTTTACAAATATTTTCATTTGTAATAAACACAATCTTTGGCATATATTAACTTATGACCAGTCTAATAGAGATCAAAACATTATATAACAGCTAATCTTATTACAAAAATATTAGATTTGTTACAAATTTGAGCAATATGACAAATGCAGTAATATATTTACTACGGGACGATGAGATTATTTTAACATGTGTAAAATCTTAATTTTAATATTCTTTTTCGCGACAATTTTACGCTTATCTACGTCTGGAAAACAATATTTACATATTTTTTGTTTGCTCATACAAGAAATACAACATTAGGGTGCTGCAAGACGACTTGTAGCAGATGCTAAAGCAGTTAACGCAACGGCTGCTTCGACCTCATCCCGATCATGTCGCAAGGCTTTAGAAGGAAATAATTGTGATTTGGATTCGAATTTTCGTCGTTTGCCATCAGCCCACCAGGAGTAATTATTTTCACTTGGTTGGAATCGTGCAGCGCTTTCTAACCATTTGCTTAGGAGTAAAGGACTTGTAATGTTTTTAGGGTCGTCAGTTTTTCCGCTCCTATGATCAACTTCGTTTGAGTTGTTATTAAAGCTTTCGCACTTATCTGTAGACAATGAGGAAAAGTCCGCGTCCAAATGTTGATATTCTGAGCTAGACTCAGGGCTGCCTTCAAGTCGGGCATCAATGTCCAACGTTTCATGATCGGGACTCGGCGCAGGCTCACTCCATATGCTGTCATCCGAACAGATGCTAAATTGTTCAACGTTTCCTTGGGCACGGTCGTTGTAGGTGCGGATAAGATGACCCCATGTTTGTTGATTGCGGTCCACGTTTACATTTTTTAATTTTCGTCTCCAATTGGCAAACCAGTTGCAAATCTATAAACATAAGAAAATTGGTGAAATATTTTTTTGACATGACGTAAATTCGTGACATTTCTGTATTGTATTTCTGGGCTTGATATGGTTAAAAATACTTTTTTTTATAGGATCGGGTGACAAACGAGCACACAGTCCACCTGATGGTAAGTTGTTACTGTGACCCATAGACATCTACATCTATCCTCAATAAAGACTCAAGATGCAGATGCGTTGTCACCCGTGAGGACTAAGATGGAATGCCTCTTTGCCAGTAAAATGGGTCTCCGGTTCTCTACACTCACCATACGAAACACAGCAGCGTTAAGCTACTATTTTACGCTGGTTTTCTGTGAGAGCGTGGTCCTTCCCCGGTCGTGCCGACCCATTCGTGCTACAACCATAATATAGCTGCAGCATGGCTCTACCATTACATTAAATAAACATAACTACATAGTTAAGTATATGAATTCCGATTTGAAGATAAATATGTGCATTATATGCATATAGTATGTATTCAAGCGTGATTGTAACAGTCTTTAAACTTTAATTTATATCTTGCGCTACTCAAATCGTTTAATATTTTTTGTGTAATGTAATAAATGGATTATCAAGTAAAAAATATGCACTATGCATGTTAATATTATATGTACATTTAAACGACTACCTCGTTGGAATAGTGGATGCAAACTCGACTGCTGATGCATGAGGTCGCGGGTTCGAATACCGAGTCGGGCCAAAAAAAATCAGTTATTGAGTTATTCCGTCAAAGTGTTCTTAGTAGCTGCCCGAAGTCAGGAAGTTGGCGGTGTTTCACCCCCGTGCCACGGAAAGCACGTAAAACCGTTGGTCCTGTGCCTGATCTCTCTCCGGTCGTGTCGGTTTACCGTCCCATCGGACTATGAGAATGAGGGAGTAGAGAGTGCACCTGTGCTTGCGCATACACTTGGGCAGTATAATGCAGTCCTGCGTCGGTGGCTAGTCTCCGTTGAGGCTGGCCGCCGTGACCGAAATTCGGTCTGGAGGGCATTATTATTATTTTATTTAAATTACAAGTTCTTTTCACAAATGAAGATAACATCATTAGTTGTGGTGTCTAACAAAGCAGTGACAAAAATAGTGTCTATGTATGTACAAACAGCAATTCTTGGCATAAATCCAATTAGGTTGCAAGTAGGCACAAACGTGTTGCCTACTTGAAAACATGTATTGTAAAAATTGAGTCTTCATTTCAATTTAATATATGCACAAATCTTACTTGTATGTATGTTAGTCCTGTTTCTCGGGACAGATATTTTTTTTCTTCTCGGTTGGGATAAGGATTCTCTCTTCGACGTACGAGCCAATCTTTTAAATACCGTTTTATTTCTGGTGTAAAAAGCCTCTTCTGTGGCCGCTGTCCAGCTACTAAACTTCTCCTGAAAACATGAAACAAATATGTTTGTCTTATTTTTTATTCACAAAATATAAGCACAATGTTATTGACAACGCGATTGTCGCAATACGTTAATATTTGTGTTCTTTATGTGGATATAATCTATATTATTATATATTTGATTTGTAAGTGACGCACAAAGAAATTAATTAACTAGAATATGAAAGCAATGACTCATCGACTAACCGAGTATATCGCCTGTTGCGTACTGGTCTCAAGGACTTTCCACTATCCTCTTTGGTAGGCGATCCATCCATTTTAGCCTCTTTGACCTCCTGATCTCTTTGGATAAGTGTCATCGGATTAAGAACTGTTCCTTAGATGAAAACGAGATTAAGTGACAAAACAGTCTTTTTAAAGTCACCAGCTGAGTTAAGAGCACGTGCGAGAGCAACGCTGCTTGCGACACGACTCGTGTCCCGCAATGTTGTCGCTGTGGGGGATGCTTAGTGATCTATTAAAAAATAAAGAGAAGACGACATAAATAGAATCTCCTTAAAGCATATATTTAATTACATCGAACGTAAGACCTAGATCAATTGTTAAGTCCAGATATATGTATCGATGTAACAAAACACGACGATCACATTCCTTAGATCACTTTTGGGTGTTGTTATTTGTTAGGGAAGATTTCCATACACAATATCTGAACATATTAGTTACTTGTATTAGAGAGCCCACAATGGAGGTTACTTGAACGTCTTTGTTTCAAGCTATTGTATTCAGTAATCACCATTAAAAACAAAAAACATGTTAACTGTTACGTGTACCTACTATCGAGGTCAATGTTCTTTTAGTTTGTTCAGATTACAGATTTTGAAGTGAAAAATTAACCAAACTGCGATTATTTAAAATGAGAATAAGGAATGACAGCAGTACTATTAAACATTGTTAAATATTTTGATTTTTGGATATACGTACCTGATTGCGGGAAAGCTCGCTGGCTGTGTGAAAATGGCGTCGGATAATCGGGCAACGGCGATGGCAGCGCCGCGGCGCGGGCGCTTCGTTTTGCTGCAAATTCATGTTATTTCAGGATGTCTCCCGCGATGTCTTCAAACACCGTTCCAACAACAACGTTATGTTTTTTCATAAATACTCATCATATACAAAACCAATAAAATTAATTTTATATTCAATCACTTAATACATAAAGTATAGTTTATTAGAGTAAGAAAAATAACCGTAGGTATCGTACCTAAGAGGCGACAGAGGGAAAATGAACCAGGAGATGGGCAGCAGCATCTTCCTACAGCTAAAAAATAACAAATATAGTTGCAAACCCGCTCGCCAAGCGTGGCAACTATGGCATCCCTCCTACAAACTAATCTATGGGGGAGGCCTGTATTCAGTTAAAAATTATTTTAGGATGAAATACAAATTATACGAATTAAAAATTTCAGTAGTAAAAAAAAGTTTAATTGCGTCACTTTTATATTCAGTCAGGTTGTAATTTATTTGACGGATAACTTCGATATAATCATAATTATAAAAGCCTGACCTCTCCCGCTTCGCGTTCGAGTCGTGCAATAAGCGTAGGTACATTATAAAATTTCTTTACAGTTGCCGTTACAGCCTATTAAAGTCCACTGCCGAATATAGGCTTCCCCCGTAGATTGCCTCATAGAGGGGATATTGGTCATAGTTGCCACGCTTGGCAAGCGGGTTGGCAACCAAAGTTGTTATTTTTGTAGTTATTAGGAAGACGCTGCTACTCATCTCCTGATTTGTTTCCCCCTGTCGTCTGTTACACCCACGGGACGATTTATGGGGTAGTGGATATTCTTACACTCCACTACACAGTCTACTTTAAAATATATAGATTTATTTAAATATTTTTATACTTTACTTAATTATAATATACACAAAAATATTGTTTTCGGTATTCGACTAACAACTTTATTCCTAAAAATGATCGTTTTGAAGAACGAAACGTTACGAAATATAGTAATTCGAGAAACGTTTCGTTCTCCGAAACGATTATTTTTATTAATTACAAAGTGCATGTAAAACGAATTTTTTAAAGTTTAGTTTATATCTCTATATTCAAAAAATCAATTACTGTCTGTTAGTCTCGCTAAAACTCAAAAACTGCTCGACCGATTTTGATGAAATTTTTTGTGTGTGTTTGAATGGGTCCCTAGATTGACATTTGAATGGTGGCGCTATTGTCGAGATTCAGAAATAACCAATGTGAAGCCGGGGCGGATCGCTAGTATCACAATATATTTTGTTTGGCAAAACTTTAAGGCGTTGTAATTTTTAAATAAAACTAATTTTACGGATTTTATCGCGTATATTAACTTATACGCGATAAAATCCGTAAAATTAGTTTTATTTAAAAATGTGTAGTGTTCGCGTAAATATAAGAAATCATCGCGTAAATATAAGAAATCATTGCGTTGTAATTTGTTGAACTAGTATATATTTTGTTTTTCTTACACTTCTGCACTACAGAACAGGTTGTAAGAAAACCGTTTTTTTACAACCTTTTAATTTTTTTTCTAAAGAAACCAGGTATTAATCGTGTCCTAAGCGAATAGGAGATCATATTTTTAGACGCTACCCTCCGTCATGAACTGAATACTTTGTAATTCACAATTTTTGTGAAGGTTTTACGGTATAAACCTTCTCACAAATTGGTATTTATCCGAGTAATTGTCTCTGTGATATCGCATTATCTTTGGCACTACACTACGTTAGTATTATTTATTCTTTGATGTATGTATCTGATGCGCTGTTGATCAAATTATTTGAAAGGTGTTCAAAATCGGCCAAGAGGAGGCATTGGTACATATTAGACAAGTTCCTATGATGTACCGATGGCTCAGTATTACTAACTACTAATGACTCAAACGTTACTAGATATTCGAGTGTTAATAGAAATCAGTCGATAGTGAAGTACAAATATTGTTGGCTGTCGAAAGTAAATAGGTAGAGCCATGCTGCAGCTATATTAGTAGTATAGTTGTAGCACGAATGGGTCGGCTCGACCAGGGAAGGACCACGCTCTCACAGAATTCCAGCGTAAAATAGCAGCTTAACACTGCTGTGTTTCGTATGGTGAGTGTAGAGAACCGGAGTCCCTTTTTACTGGAAAAGAGGCATTCCATTTTAGTCCTCACGGGTGACAACGCATCTGCATTTTGATTCGCAAACGAGGATAAATAAAAACTAAAACGGTATGTCTATGGGCCACAGCAACCACTTACCATCAGGTAGACTGTGTGCTCGTTTGTCACCTTATCCTATAAATAAAGGTCTTTAACCTACAGGCATTATTATTTATAACAACACCTACATTATTTTGTCAACAATGTGTTATTTTTTTAAAACCGTGAACATGTTCATTATTCAAATTGATTGATTTAATATTTGATGTTGTATATGTGATCTACACAATTACATTTCATTTATAAGAATATGAACGATAAACACGAAAGTTCAACTCATTATAAAATAAAATTACGCTATACGCTGCATTTGTAGTTTTAAAAAATTGATTGTGGCATGTGATATATCCGGAAGCCTACAAAACAATAAAATATTAAATAGTAAATACATATTTGGTATGAGAGCACATGTGTTATGGGTTATGGGACATCACACGTGTCTTGTCGTCAGGGCATTAGTAAAACGTTATCATTTTAAACTCTTGCTATGTAGAGCAACATTGATTTTTTTTTTTAAATTATTTTCTTATTATAATTTTTAGTAGTTGTAAGAAGTGGATTCATCCTAGATAGCCTTTATTATGTAATAATAGTATAATTTCAGGGAAAATAAAATAAACGTAACACATCATCAATCTGGTGGAATCATAATTTGATTAAAAAACATATTTTATAATTTTACAAAAGGAATCTGTTGACATCTATCGTAATTTAATTGTTACCTAATAATAACAACATTAATAGTCGCATGCATGGCATTTTTTAAATTAAAATGCATACTAGAGTAATAGAAAATGATGCAACTAAGTCTTAAATGACATCATTCACTTGTTTTCGCCTACCTAACAATATTCTTTTATCAATTAAATAGAATGACTTTATTGTTTAACAGATTTTGTTTTATAATAGTTCAATATTACAGTCGAAATAAAGCAGTGGGCCCACTAAACTAAAACATAGAGCTAAACTCTCTTTAATTTTGCCGGGGCGATTTCCGCCGAGGTCAGAACATCGAAATAATAGCAGAGCAATGCGTATGTCTTTTTCATGTGCTTAGTAAATTCAATTTGTTATCTCTTTCTAGATCCCACCGCAGTTGGTCCGAATGTAATCGGGTGAACGCCATACAAATTCACACAATCAACTCTACTCTACATTTACACATGCGCCGCGGCGTTTGTCTCGTATAAACGCGTGACGTGTTGGGAGTTAGGAGTTGTTGCGTGGTTCGGTTTGACGTCAACTTGGTTACGGTCACTTATTCTAGTATCGTATAACAATACTATTTTCATAAAAATGTTTACTGAAAGTGAGTCAGTTGTGTAAAAAATAACTTAGTAGACAGTGTCTGCCTAGCGGTTGTCAAGCATCGTGGACAGAAAACCGCTGGTAACTAATAAAACCCACGTGCGTTGTGTTTTTACCGGTGTACTTGATTGATTTTTTACGATATGGGTGAAGAAACTCTCAACGAAGACGGAAAAGTAGTTTTAAAACGGAAAATAACTCTATTTAATGGTGTCGGAATTATAATCGGGACTATTATTGGTTCCGGAATTTTTATATCTCCGACGGGAGTTTTCATTTACACAGAGTGAGTCTAAGAATTTTTCCCGCCTTTTTATTTAGTTACTTAATTAAAATTAGAATAAAAATAAAAATAGAATTAATTAGAATTACCAAGGTAAAATAGGTGTACATAATAATAATTAAGGGATAGGTATTTTAAAAGTATTTGAAACTTAAAAAAAGCTATATTAATAATTGCAATGACTCAATATTTACGGAAAAAATTAAGGAAATAAATAATAAAATATTTTTTTATTAATTCTTTTATGAATTATTTGAGCAAGGAAATGCCTTTTTTATATTTTAGAATTATTATGCTGCAGTTATATTATGGTTGTAGCACGAATGGGTCGGCTCGACCGGGGAAGGACCACGCTCTCACTCTCAATACCAGCGTAAAATAGCAGCTGAACGCTGCTGTGTTTCGTATGGTGAGTGTAGAGAACCGGAGACCCTTTTTACTGGCAAAGAGGTATTCCATCTTAGTCCTCACGGGTGACAACGCATCTGCATCTTGAGTCTTTATTGAGGATAGATGTAGATGTCTATGGGTCACAGTAACCACTTACCATCAGGTGAACTGTGCTCGTTTGTCACCCGATCCTATAAAAAAAATTTTTTTTAATGAGAGATAATAAATGGCCACTTGAATATCAATCTATTTCGTCATAATATCAGCCTGTGGGTATGCAGCAATGGTAATAATGGTAATGGTAGCAGAGAAAATTGAACAGGAGGGATAGACGCTTGCTAAAGCGCCTACGAAGCGAGGTCAACTATGGCAAATATCCACCTTATGGAGAAGGCATAGTCGTTCCCCTTATGGTGGATATTCATGTTCAGCAGTGGACTTTAATAGGCTTTTAATTAATAATCAGTAGTATGTATAATGTGAGTATGCTTAGTACGGATTAGTAAACTGAAGTGACAATGGGCTTGCCATATAGCTCGAATAACCGACAACCGATGCGGAAGCAAGGTTCTAGAGTGGCAGCCACGTTATGTGATTAAAGAAGTCTTTACTCTTTTACTCTGTGGCCTCGTACCGGTAGGCGAAGTGTGGGGCGGCCCCTTCCAGATGGAGTGACGACCTGGTAAGACATGCAGGAAGTCGATGAATGCAGGTGGCTCGGGACCGTACTTTGTGGCATTCCTTGGGGAAGGCCTATGTTCAGCAGTGGACTTATGGAGGCTGTAATGATGATGATGAAAGATGATGATCATCGTCATGAAATAATTGACAAATGACAATTTCCTTAGTTAAACCACGTGAGTAAGGAAACCGTTAAACGTAGAAAAATATGATAAACGTATCACAGGCGGTTTGCGTTGCAGTTTCTAAGGGAAGGTAGTCTTAGGACATTAATACTATTATTTCATTGTAAAGGATATTTTATATGTCCTATTTAATGGTTTAAATAGTAGAGTTATATTTACCTGTGAGAATTAGGACATTTCCAATTTTTGTAGACATTTTTATACACTCGTTTAGTTATACACTTTATAAAACGCTTGTGCTATATATATTGTAGAAGACTTTTCTTGTAAAGTCTAAAGTTTTTTTTTTCAAAATGATAACAAAGATTTTCAAATAATGTTGGTATGGGAGAATTAAAAGGTAAATTATTTGTACTTAAAAAATATTATTAAATCTTATTAAAGTTAGATATATACCTGTACGAATAATAAAATATGTTTGTAGCATAATAAATGGATTGTTTATATATCTTTTTTGAAGTTTGTTAAAAATATATTAATGGGCCAAAAATTTAATTTAATATAAATGTATTGAATATTTATTTTAAAATTTCAATACATTTACATTCTGATACGTGTTATATTACTCTTCTAGCTTTTACGCACGACTTCTTTTACAAAATTAAACAATAAAACCTGCATGTAGAACTACCTAGTCAGGTTATAAGTATTGTCACACAGTAAAAACTTTTCTTTTAGAATGCTGGCCACAAAAAAGTTTATTGAATTCGAATTTCGAATTGTTCATGAAAATAAAACTGTATACTTTTTAGAATTTTACTCATTTTTAAATATGGAGTGGACGCTTAAAGAAGACCGTGTTGCAGTTATTGCGTTGCATCGTTGCGGTTACGCACCAATTCAAATTTTTGACATGCTGAAAGATTTGAATATAACCAAAAGATTCGTTTATCGTACCATCAAACGATACAATGAAGACTCTAGTATAGATGACAGGTCAAAAAGTGGTCGCCCTCGGTCTGTTAGGATTCCAGCCGTGATAAAAGCTGTGAAGGCGCGAATTCAAAGAAATCCCAAACGTAAGCAGAAACTGTAGGCCCTTCAGATGGGGTTAAGCAGAACCACGGTGAAAAGGGTGTTTAATGAATATTTAGAGCTTCGGGCATATTGAAGAAAAACAGGACATCGTTTGAATGCTCGTCTAATGGACATGAGACTGAAGAGATGCCGCGCTTTGTTGAAGCGGTACGCGGGAAAAAAATATCGGGAAATTCTTTTTTCGGATGAAAACATTTTTACCGTAGAAGAGAGCTACAACACACAAAATGATAAGATGTACGCACACAGTAGTGAAGAAGCGAGCAACCGTATTCCGCTTGTCCAACGAGGTCATTTTCCATCCTCGCTCATGGTATGGTTGGGAGTTTCTTATTGGGGCTTAACAGAGGTACATTTTTGTGAGAAAGGTGTAAAAACGAATGCAGTTGTGTATCAAAATACAGTCCTGACGAACCTTGTGGAACCTGTTTCTCATACCATGTTCAATAACAGGCACTGGGTATTCCAACAAGATTCGGCGCCAGCTCATAGAGCGAAGAGCACACAAGACTGGCTGGCGGCGCGTGAAATCGACTTCATCCGGCACGAAGACTGGCCCTCCTCCAGTCCAGATTTGAATCCGTTAGATTACAAGATATGGCAACACTTGGAGGAAAAGGCGTGCTCAAAGTTTCATCCCAATTTGGAGTCACTCAAGACATCCTTGATTAAGGCAGCCGCCGATATTGACATGGACCTCGTTCGTGCTGCGATAGACGACTGGCCGCGCAGATTGAAGGCCTGTATTCAAAATCACGGAGGTCATTTTGAATAAACTTTAGTGTCATAAGAATCTATGTTTTGTTAAGTTCATTTTGGTATATAAATGGTTACATAATGAATAAACTTGTTTCAATTATTTTATATTAAACATGTGACAGAATTTATGACCTGACTAGGTATACTTATTGTCATCTTTGGGCGAGAAAATCAATTACTGAAAAATTACTTTAAACTCAGTTTTTTTGCTTTTATCTCGAAAACTGTTTGATCGATACTTTTTTATATCGCTTGCAGTTTAGGGGATTAATCATCAAAAAACATTTATTTAATCAGTTTTTCGAATTTACAAAAACTCCAGCATGTTTTCGAATTAAACATAGCTTAGACAATTTCTAGCATTGCTCTCAATCTCTTCGTGATGTTTCATAACAATCGGTTCAACCATTCCAAGGATTAGTCCGGACAGACAGACAAAAGTTTTATAAATTGTTTATTCATGTCTTAATCACCATCATCTTCATTACAGCCCTTCACAAGTCCACTGCTGAGCATACGCCTCCCCCAAGGAATACCACAAAGCACGGTCACGAGCTACCTGCATCCACCAACTTCCTGCATCTCTTACCAGGTCGTCACTTCATCTAGTGGAGGGTTGCCCTACACTTCGCCTACCAGTACGAGGTTGCCACTCAAGAAAGTTTTTTCCCCTTCGGTTGTCGGTTCTTCGAGCTATATGGCCAGCTCATATGGAGAGCTATATGCCACTTCAGCTTACTAATCCGTTAGGCTATGTCGGTCACTCTGGTTGTACTGTGAATATCCTCATTTCTAAGTTTATCACGCAAAGACCCCAGAGCATAGCCCTTTCCATAGCTCGCTGAGGGACCTTGAGCGTCGTCATACGACCAGCAGTGAAGAACCACGTCTCAGATCCATAAGTCATCACTGGCCACACGCATTGGTTGTACAATTTCGTTTTAAGGTTTTGAGGTATATATCGTCGGCAAATCGAAGGTGAGTGATGTACTCGCCATTGATACTAATACCGTATCCTTCCCAGTCCAGTAGCTTGAAAACATCTTCCATACAGCGGTGAAGTTTCGAGGATATAACGTCAATAGTCACCGTAGCCCTACTGTACAAACATTTTAGCACTTCGATATACCAACATTCAACTTCGCACCGCTGAAGGGACTGTAGCACCGCCCAAATTTCGATGGAATTAAAGGCTTTCTCATAGTCCACATACGTAAGGCAAAGTGGTAGACATACTCTTCGGTCTTCTGTACAATTTGCCGAAGGGTATGTATGTGGTCTATGGTACTAAAGCCTTTTCTGGGGCTGGAAGTCGTCGAGTCTGCGTGCGATACGATTCGTAATAACTCTCGAAAACAGTACGTAGAAGCGGCTCAACAGGGAAATCGGTCTGTAGTTGTCCAAGAGAGCGTTGTCGCTTTTCTTGAAGAACAAGACCACTTATGCTCCATGCCTCCGGAGTAGTCCCACCATGGAGGACGGAATTAAAGAGCTTCTGAAGAACTTCAAGTAGAGGTTGCCCACCCGCGTTCAGAAGCACCGCTGTAATTCCATCTTCGCCTGGAGACTTGCCGTTTCTAAGGTGTTGGACAGCCATTCTAATCTTACTCAGAGTGACGTTCGGGATATTATCGGAATAGTGTCGGATAAGGCTTGCTCTTGGATCGTTTACTCACATTTGCGTGTAGTTCCAACTATGACGTGTACAGCTGCCCATAGAACCTCTCAATCTCACTCAAAACCTCAGGTGTTCCGAAAACGATGCTGCCACATTCGAACTTCAACTCCGACAGTTGGCTCTTTTTGGCAGACTGATATCTGGCAAAGGCTTTGGAGCCCTAGTTCCGCTCGATCGCTTCTTCAATTAGAGCAGTATTGAAGTTTCGTAAGTCTTGTCTGTTCTGTCGCCTGCATGCTGCCAAATCTGCTGAAGACTGCAGCGTCATTACC